TTGTATACATACAGTACGCATATATATTCAAGTGTAAATCAGTAGTTAAACATATGTATATATAAACATATACATATATTTCATGTATACTCATATATGCACATTAATAGAAACGTATTTAGAAACACGTAAGTGTATTTAGGAACATATATGACAGTTTTTGCAGAGGGCTAGACCCATACTTCCATAGAGCTAAGATATTCCTATAGTGATTCATTACATATACACGTACCTCGACATCTCAAATAAATAAGTAGATAGATAGATAGATAGATAGATAGATAGATAGATGGATAGATAAATAAATAAATAAATAGATAAATGAAATAAATAAATAAATAGATAAATGAAATAAAGAGAAGGAAAATACGTGTAGGGGCAGCATTGTTTTTATGGAAGAGCTCATTTAAAACTATGCTATCTCTGAGCTGCACAAAGAAAGGAGTCTTCTGGCTTTATTCAGGTTTAAGTTATTGTTTATGTTTTAATAGTCACTGTCCCACTAAGGTAAATCACAATGCACCTGCCGCCTTTGAAATGCAATTCAGGGCCTGAGTATTTCTGGATCGTGGAAATGCAGCGCTACCTGCCGCACTGTGGCACGACCCCGAAAATGCCAATTTGGGGTGTTTTATTTTGGTTCGTTTATGTTATTGTTGTTGTTTTGGTTTTTGGTTGTTTCTTTCTTTCTTTCTTTCTTTCTTTCTTTTTTTCCTGTAAAGAGTTAGGCAGTCAGTTCAAATCTACATGAGCTAAGATGACAGGTGATACTTTCAACAGCGCGTTTAATAATGTAAAACTGCAGCGCACAGAATGTCCCCCTGAGAGGAGCTCTGTGCCCCCGTGTCTGAGCAGCTTCAGGGAAGTCTTTAAGCTAAGGATTCATGAGACAAGCGCAGAAGCAGGCGCGTCCACAGGCCGTTCTTCTGCAGTGAGGCATTACAAATCCATCGTAACAGTGCTCGCTGCTCCCAGCCCTGGTGCCTCCGTGCGATGTTTCCACGTTTCCACCGCAGCGGAGCGCTGCCCCCAGGCCCCGCTGCGTGACAGCACCAGCGCCGCAACTCCTGGGGGGGAGCTGGGAGAAGGGAAAGATATAAGGTTTGTTTTTTTCTTTTTTTTTTTTCTTTCGAAAGAAAGGAGAGATGAATGGAAGAGTGATAGATGTCAACTTTCAGCAAATTAAAAAAAAAAAAAAAAAGCGAATATATCTTTACATATGCATCTGTATCCAACGGGAGCGGCGGGAGGAAGGGAAGAAGGGAGCCCGGCCCTCCGACGCTGCCGCGGTCCCATCTCGGGGCCTCCTCACGCTGCTGCCGATGCTGGCAGCTGAGGTGGCCGCCGAATTTTTGCCGGAGTCTGGGCCCGCTGCTGCCAGAGGGCCCGCTGCTGGAGGATTTGCGTATCTTTTTTTTTTTTTTACCTTAATGTTCTAATTTCCTCGGCGTGTGTAAATACAGAGGACGTACGATGGATGACGTCAAAAGACGTGACCCTGCCGTTAAACCTGAACGCGAATGGGATTGGCGATGCGGGGAGCGACGGTGGGGCCGGCAGGGGGTACTGGGAGGGCCCCTTCCGCGGCCGCGGAGCTCTGCGTCTTCGCGCATCCCACGCAAACGGGCAGAGCCCCGGATGGCCCAGCACAAAGCCCACCCCGCTCTGCCGCGCCGCCCCCGCTCTCCTCCTCATTTATTTATTTATTTATTCATTCGTTCATTCATTTTCCCTTTAATGGAATATTATTTGCTGTTTCGGATCACCAGATGATGAGCGGGAAACAAGAAATTCAGAACAGTTTTAAGAAGAAAACAAAAAATTATATATTGTCCTCTCCAAAAACGATACGCGGTGGATCGCGGTCCTTCATCCCTACAGGGGTAGCCGTGCCTCGGCGGCACCTGCGGGGGTGGAAGGGGTTGAAAAGGACTGGAATAGGCCGTGTCACGAGCACGGAAGCGGTGGGCGTAAGGGCGTCTTCCCACCTCTCCCCCCACCTCCTTCTTCCCCCCTTCTCCCCCCATTTTCTTTTACCCAGGCCCTCTCTGATCTCGTGGCACTGCTGTTTGCAGGAACGTGGGAAGAAGTTTCAGCGGCGACACTGAATGCCATCAGAGTCCTGAAAGCGGAGGGTGTTCTCTATTCGGATCCAAGCCTTCCTCCTTCTTCTCCCAACGTCTATTTGCTGTGATGCCGTCAGAGCATCTTCCTGCGCCGTGGCACGGTCTCTCCGATTTGCATACACCGCACTCTGCTTCCCCCATCCGAGCGTCTTCCCTTGAACTCAAAGGGCCGAACGGGGGGATGCCAGCACGCGTGTATGTAGGGACAGAGCGGGGCCGGAATTCGCGCTCGTCTCCAGAGGCCGAGGATCGCCCTGCTCATCCGTGGGCCTCTCTCGGTCCTCACAGAGCGCCCTTTGTCCCACCGCACCTCTGGGGCAGCCCTGCCGGGGGTCTCCCAAGTACTTGGGCGGATGGAGGAGGCAGTCCCCTGCTGGCATGCATACACACATACATACATTCACGCGGGGCTGTGATAGGCACACACGAACCTCCTGCTGTCAGCCCGCCCCCAGCCCCCGCCACCTCCCCACGCCATCGCGGGCGTCGTGCACGGTCGCCAGCGGCCCGCCCCGAAAAGGGCAGTGGGGAGCCGTTCTGACGCCCCTCACCTCCTCCCGCCCTCCGCGCTGCTCCGCGCACACAAATTTCCGCCCTTAAGCCCTAAAGCGATGCGTTTCCACGCAGATCGCGCGCCGCTGGCTCGCAGGAAGCAGCGGAGGAGCCGGGAGAGCTCTGCCGGCTGGAGAGCACGCAGCGCTGTGCGTGGCAGCTGGAGTGGGGAGAGGCGCTCTCTCTCCCTCTTTTATTTTTTTTCCCCTTCTTTTTCTCTTTAAACGGTATGATTTATTATTATTATTATTTTAATTTTATTTATTTATTTGCTTATTTTGCAATTGTCGACCCGTTGTTTCGTTCAAAGAAAAGTTACCCAAAAAGGGCAATGCAGCCCATGAACAGCACTCGGTAGGAGCCGCTCTTCAGATCGTGGCTGGAGGAAGACACCTACAAAAAACTCCACCGTTCTCTGCATTTGTAAGTTTCCAAAGAAATGCACGCCTCCTTCCCTTTTCTCCTGGAAGACGCAAGCCACGGCTCTTCTTTAGGCATTTCTAATTTGTTCCGTCCGTCAGAGCGGCACTAAGAGAGGTTTGGTGCAAATTCATTATCTCTGGCAAGGCACAGCGCGGAGCAGGAACTGAAAAAAGACCGTGGCAATGGGTGAACAATGGGGCTTCAGTTCGTCGGCAACAAAAGCTGTGGGGAAATCGGTTGGATTTCAGAGCACGTCCTTCTCGACAGAGAGGGCTGGACTAGACCTTGGCCAACCTTCCAAAAAAACTTGCGGAACATCTCATGCAGGACTTCACTTTCTACACCGGGGCTTAAGAGGCAATATATATTAAAAAAAAAAAAAAAAGAAGAGGGGGGGGAGGAGGGGGAAGAGGGGAGGCGAAGGGTATTAGAAAACTTTCTGCGACCGTCTCCCGTTTTTCCGGATAGAGGATGCCGAGCTACTTTAAAGCCATTTGTCGCAAGAACCGCAATGTGGAGCTACGCGGAACTTTCAAAGCAGATGGAGGAACGACGTGAATTCATGGAGATTTGCCTGCTGGGATCTTAGTGTGTGCCTTACCGCCGGAACCGGGGGGGAGAATCCCCCCCACCCTCGGAGCCGCAGCGATGTGAGTACCGCGGAGGGGTCCCGAATCCGGACCTGTTGGTCGCGGGGCATGGGAACTGCCCGCAGTGGCAACGCTTTGTGCGGTTCTCGGAGCAGTGCGGGCATGGGGAGTGCTGCTGGCAGGGAGCGAACTCGGCCCGTGGTATCACTCTTTATGTGGAGCCTACCTGCGAGCTATGTTTAAATAAACTTAAATATGCATATATGTATATATATACTCTCGAGATGTCAGGCGTGTGAGGAATTATCCTCCGTAGTCTGAAAATCCTCCATTCCGCCCCTGCGTGGAGGAAGCATCCTGCAGTGTGCAAAAGGCCACCAGAGCAGAGTGTGCATCCCTGGCACGGGGCGAGGAGGAGTTGGATGCTCTGCACGGCCCCGAGCCCGCTGCATGCGGCCCTACAACAGTAGCATCCCTCTACCTGCCAACCGCTCTAAGACCATGAAACGAGTGAAATCTCTTCAGCATAACACGGGAAAAACAGTCGCTTCATGGGAAATAATATGCTTTTAAAAAAGTATTATTCTTATTATTTTTATTTTGTAACTAAAGCTGATGCAGCTGATATGATGCAATGCAAGCTTGTGGCTCACTGTTTTTATTTACCCCCGCTCCCTAGGCACGCTGTCAGTGCCGACAGCGCCTTCCCCGTGCTCCCGGTCCGAAGATCCGAAGGAGCGCGGGATGAGGCTCTGTGCACGCTCTGGGCTGGAGGCTAGGTGGAGCTCCGTCCTTCATTAAGGAGCCGCAGAGTATAGTATGCAAATATCGTGCCCGCCCCTGGAGTTTTGGCCACTTCCATTCAGCGGCCCAAAATATTTTCTATGCTTTATCCGTAAACGGAGTTGTCCACACAAATCGTTGTAGTCTTTATATTATTCCTTTTATTTTATGTAAATATTTATTGCCACATTTAACTCCGCAGATGCTGGAGCACATCACTTATATCTGTTCCGTGTTATGCTGGATCATCTGCAAGAAATGTGGCTGGTTGACTCCCGGCTTAACCCAGAGCTGAGCCTGCCAGCGGCAATCAACTTTGGGCTTGTTGAATGAACCACCTCAGATACGAGTGATCTAGATCTGAGCACCTATACACCAATCTATTCACATACATTTAATGAACAAGAACCAAACAGTAAAGGTATTTAAATCATGACCCTTTGCTTCTTTTGTGGTTATTTTTCAGATTTAAACAACGCAGACTCAGGGCACTGAGCACAGGGAATGACATCCAAGGCACAACACGGTAATATGTTTTTCCTTATTAAAGCTGGACGGTGCTCTATGTGTTACCTACAGATTTTATAAACGCGTGGTGCTTAGCAGCGTGCATTGCTTCCGTGTGTGATTACTGACCGAGTGCGTGTTTCATTTGTTTTTCCCTGAGATGCTGTATTCTCGATAGTTCGCCTGCTCTTATTGCACAGTTTGGATTCGTGCTGACATCCCCTTGCATGCCAGCAGCAGTACGCCGGGGGTGCCGGTGCGGTGGCACCGCGGTCACCAGAGGGACGATAAGGGCAGCTCTATGGGAAGCGGCTCTCCTGGCTGCGGGAGTGGGACGCTGCGGGAGCGCTGCCCGCCGCGAGCTGCCGCGTCGTGGTTCCTCTCCGCGAGAATTCTGCTCGGCTGTAGTGCGGAATGGGGTTTGTGCCGTACTGCACCTCCTCCCGTGGTTCCTGCGCGGAAGGCGGAGTGCCGGCATGAAGCCCGGCTCTGATTGCGTTAATTGGAGCGTCGTGAGCATTCCTTTTTCAGTCAAATAGGGACTGTTTATTCTTAAGAAATCCGTGCAGGATGCTTCTTCTTTACGTCACAGCCATCTGGAGACCTATAAAAAGATTAGACAACAAGCATGACAATCACATACTGATCTACGGGCCATAAGCAGGAGTTCATTAGGAAGGTGGGAGTAAAAAGCAAACGTTTGGGTTCGGCGTCTCACAATATGCAGCTCGTCTTCACAAAGCCTTTGGGATAAGTAAGCTTTGTACTGTTATGTTATCTGGGAATAAAATTGCACGTAGTGTTGACCGCAGCTGTTACTCCTGACGGTCATTCCAGAGCAGCAGGCTGCACGAACTTTTCCCAAGCTGGAAAATGCTGCAGCCCTGGATGTGTATACTATCCACTGCAGAATGCATTTCTGTGACATTCAGAGCAAGCAAATACTTCGTGCAGTCTCACTGCACACGTGTAGATTTCAAGGCCCTGCCAAGTGATTGAGAGTTAGAGAATTCATTTGGTACTGCAGCTAAAGAACAGCTGGTTACAGCCATTGCGTTGGCTCACTGCTGAAGCTCTCACAATGGGTGCATTGCATTTACTAAATCAGTCAGTGTGTGAGTAAGTGAGGTGGTGCTGAGAACAGATCTTCATGTTTTAAAGGTACACCTTACATCTCTGAAACATGCTATTTTATTTTTATTTTTTTAGCCTTGCATTTAGCTGTACGCCTGGTCACATTGTGATTTGTTTTAAATGCATGCATTTATATGCACTTATGTGTCTGCGTTGATACATATTGTACACACACACATGTCTGTAAAAGCATAGACTTACACACAACAGCACAAGGAGCACCTGAACCATCATGTCTCTCACTGGAAGAATTCAATGCACGAGCTCACAATCCTGCTGTGCACAACACATCCACATACGTCTGATCACTGATGCTGCTGCCTCTGAACGTTGCCAAACAAACAAACAACAACAACAAACGCATTTCTATCTGTTCAGAAGAAACTCTTTAGAATTTTACTTAACACCAAAATGACCATATGCTTCCAGAAGTCCCACTTGTGACTGAGCAGCCTGAGAGATAATGAAGAAGCAGAGGAAGAGTAACACAGCCCAGTAGGAACCCTGACCACTCTGTGCAATCAGCTCCTTGCTCTCTCCTACATTAGTGGCAATTTGCAGTGACACCTTTACCGAGACATCTGATGGGCATCACAGAAATATACAAACAAACAAACAAATAAAACCCAAACTCAGAGGCTGAGAATACGAAAGCACTGATGAGAGACTTCGTTAGTAATGTAAACACTGAATTCAGGGCTTGGCGCCTTCACAATGCATATCTGCTACTTCTTGGGCCTTGTCTGATAAAGGAAATTGCTTTTCCATTTTCATGGTTTTGTAATGTCACCTTATGATAAAGAATGAGGCAGCTGGTACTGTGCCATTTCACAGTGCAACCACACAGCCCTGTCTGTGTATTTTAACATGAAAACATACGTGTGCATTCATGCGGATAGACTGACACTTGTGTATGTGGTTTCCCTATACATGCACCAGCACATAGACATTTGTAACGTAAACAGACCATGCACTCACAACAGAGCTACAAGAACTTAGATTTATCTCCATGCATTGAAAATTTTCACCTTAAAACCAACAACATGAGTAAACATAAGTAGATTTACAAACTGATTGAAGTGTGGGTTGATATATCCTCTATAATGCTAAGGGAAGACAGAGCAGGATATGCAGGGATATGCTTCTCCTCTTAGGAGAGGATTTTAAGCCCTCCTTCCTTAGAATTGTGGGGCAGTCCATATTCTGCCTGTGCTGAAATTTCCGATGGGCATCCCATTCCCAGTGCAGCATGCACAAGCTCCTGAACTGCATTTATTAATTCCAACAGCAAATAGTGCAGATCTCGGTGAGAAGATTCACTGTACCATGTACACTCGGGAGACCTTTAATGTTTGCACTTAAGACTTAGGAAAATTCTATACGAGTTACAGTGTTAAATAATTCAAATTATAATGTCCTTTTTGGTGTGGGGGAGGGGGAATCGAGAGATTTAGGTCCTAAAGCCTTTGCAGTTGGGAAGGAGGTGTCCCATCGGCCCCACGCGTTATGCAACACGAATGTCCGCACTCCACGTATGGGGTTCATAAACACGAGCGATAAAGCCGCGCTTTTACGGAGGCTTTTGGCCGAAGAATGCACGGCTTCTGATGAGCATTGCTGTGGCGTTTACCTGCGCTGCATTCTAACGCGGACACACACAGAGAATGGGAGGACAGGAGGTGCAGATGCACGGAGCCGGGCTCGCAGCCTCCTACGGACGCGCTGCAGAGCCATCCTGGCGAGAGCACCGAGCCCTGTGGGCGCGCACCGCCAGCGGGAAGCCATGGGCGAGCGGCGCTCGGCGGCCGCGGCAATTGCCAGTGCAGTCACACTCCGTCCCCGCTGCCAGCCCTGCAGGGAGAGGCGGGCGGGGACAGCCCCGGCCCCGAGAGCGCCTTCCTCTGCCCGCAGGGGCAGATCTCCCGCCCCGCAGGAAGGCACGGCGGCGGCGGCGGCGGCGGCGCTGCCCGCGGCCGGGGCGGCGGCGGAGGCTGCGCCGGAGGCCGGGGCTGGCGGAGGCCGCGCTCCGCTCGGCGGCCGCCGCGTCTCTCGGCCACGTGTGCTCGAGGTTTCTCATGACATCATCATTACCTTGCTCTCCCGCGGTCCAGGACCTCTGACCTCGCCGGGCCGGCCCGCGCCGTGGCACCGGGAGCCCTCCAATGATGGCCCTTATCTCCTTCTTTCAGGCCGGGGGCAGCAGCACGCCGGCCAGAACGCGCCTACTTCTCCCCAGCCCCGGGAAAGCAAGGAGCTCCCCTCCCAAAACACGCACACACATAAGATGTTTGCCACCAAGCTGCCACCATTTGGCCAAAAGCTCTCTGTCATGCATAAGGGATCGGAAGCTGTGTCCTCACGTCACTTTCTACCGAAATGGGATTTTTTTTTTTTTTTTTTTTTTTTGGCTTCCTTACACAGTGCTGGAAATTACTGATGGCTTTTCATCTTCACAGAGGCTAAGGAGAGTTTTGTGAGAGTGGAGTGACTTACAACGCACAGAGAGACCTGCAGTGGGATGGATGCTTCTCACTCCTAATGCAGCCAGCGCACCTTCATCTTTGATGTTGTTTTCTGGGGGGAGCAGATGGACCTTGAGTTATGCTGTCAGGAATCAGTGGCTGGAAGGAAAAGTTGGGAATAAACTTTAAAGGTGATGGATCTCCTTTGGATGTTACTGTCTGCACACAAACCAGGGTACAGCTGCATGAAAGGATGGAATTTTAAAGCAGGACTGGTACTCCTGGAGGAGACAGCATGGCTGTTAGCCAGGATTCTAGCAAGGAAAATTATTATTATTAACAATAATAATAATAAAGCTTTGAGGGAAGCGAGTTGTTATCTTTGGTTATCTAGCTGTATGAGTGTTTTAGTCTTCATAAAGCTAGATAACCGAAAGTAAAAACTCCTTCAAAATCATCGTACAGCGTGTGAAAATGAGAGACTGCTGCAAGAGACAGTAAAACCCGAGACAGGCCAAGAACGCTCATTGCACTGAATGCTTTTACAGCTGGAGGTGGGAGCGGAGGGTGCTACATGGCGTGCTTATCACTTATCCCAAAATGCGAAGCTGTCAGATGTCACGGGATGGATGGCTGCTGGTGGAAAACAATGCTTGTGTGACTGCTGACCTGGCACAAATGGAAAAACAAGGACCCAGGCCAGTAAATGCTTAATTGAGAAGACACATATACACACACACCTATATATGCATATGTATCAGAAAGATGTTTGGAAATGCTGAGCTTCATTTTCCAGAATGATGCATTGCGGTGAGATAGCCTCAAAAATATTCTAGCAGCTGGTGGTGATGAAGGTGACAGTGGTGGTGATGGTACAGTGTGGACGGAGCAGGGAGGAAAACAACCGCAGACCTGTCTGCATGCATACAAGACAAAGCACCAGGGTCTCTTCTGAACAATGCCAGAGCAGGCTTTCAGAAAGTTTGCGCTGCAGTGTAGGCAAGCTTAATAATTTATACCTAGTAAGAACGCGGTAGAGCTGCACAAAGATGAAAAAAGTGATGGCCGATTTTTATTCTTCTATTCAAAACACCAGCACAGATGCTTCTCTGTTCCGAGAAGGTTTCCTTGAGGAAGCTACTGAAGCAGAAAGACATGATGGAGACGAGATTGCCTCCCCCCTTGTCAAAGTGTTAAAAAATGTTCTGTGTCTTACTCCGCGCCCAGCAATGGAAATGAAAGTGACATTTACTCCCCAACCCACGTGTGCGCCTCCTCTCTTTTTGTTTAAGGATGATCAGATCTATCCGGGAAACAGCTCTGGCATCCCAACCCGAAATAATTAGGACGTATATAGACCTGACAAAACAGAAGGGGGGGGGGAGGGGGTAGAGGGTAGGGAAGGGGCGGGGCGGGGCGGCCG